GATAGGCTTGCTTTGTTGTGGCTTAGGGTACAAAAAGATCTTTTTGTTATCTCCAAACAGAATGGCAAAGGGAAATTTTTCCTCTCTCGGCTTCTCAAGATGGTGTAATATTGTAACCCAGTACCTAAAAGTGAGACCTGGTTGATTACTCATATAAGAAAAAATATATATTTATATCTTTATTTAACTGCAGATATCTGTTCCTGCCTTTAAATGATACTGACCTATTTGCTCTATTTGCAAAGGAATTTTATTATAACCTCAGAGAATTTCCTGACATCAACAAGAGTATGTTTAGGCTATTTTACAAAGCTATTGCAAGATCCTCAGTGGGGGGAAAACGGTTTGCAATGTTCTCTATTCTGAAGCAGAAAAGTCATTGGTGTTCTGTAAAAGCAGCAGGATAGTATCGTCGGAGTGACTGTGCTTGGAAATATTTTCATAGCCATCTTTTCAGGTTGGTTGACTCATAAGTATTGACTCAGTTAGGAGGACCGCTTATTAGTGAACTCAAGCCTCATCATCCAGGCTCTTGCCTTTGTCCTGTTGCTTATCATCAATTACTAAACTAATGTTCCCTTTGAGCATAGCTACCTGTTTATCTAGAAATTAACTTAAAACTTAATTCGGAGCCTTGAAATAATAACATTCTTAGAGAAATTTAAGAGACAAAGAGTTCATTTCTTCATAATGCAAAATCTTGGAATAATGTACTACAACCTCGCTGCTCAGAGTGCTGTCCACACACCAGCAACTGGCATCACTCAGGAGATGCAGAATGTAGACCCCATCCCAGATCTCTGATTCAAAATTTGCATTTTAACATTTTAAGATCTCAGCGTGATTCAAGGACACATTACAGACTGAGAAACACTGGCTTAAAGAAATGGGCAGGGGGATTCTGAAAGTGGTTACTGTTTTGTGTCACCAAGACCAGGTAATTAGCCATAACTGCAGTATGCCCCAGAATCCTCTGGAATCAAATAGTAAAATAACAACAGCAACAACAGTGAAATTTAACAACAGTGGCTATTCGGTAAATTATATTTGTTTTTCTTTTAGGTATTATTTACACAATTGGCTCATTTTAGGCTTTTGTGGGGTTTCTGCTTTTTTTTTTTTTTTTTTTACTCTTTTCATTTTTCATTGCAGTGCGTAGAAGAGCATTCACTATGGCATCCACTCATGCATGAAGGAAGAAAGGAAACAATGAATGCATGGTAGTTATCTATTACTGGGAGTGGCTACTGGGGTTAGGACTCAGTAGATATAAAGTCTTCTGGGAGTGACCACTTGGACTGTTCATTGCTCTTTAGGTCGGGGACAGAGAGTTTTACGCTTGGGACTCCCACTTGATCATCAGAAGGCACCTCCTTAATAAGAAGACACAACTAGGGCGCCTGGGTGGCTCAGTTGGTTAAGCGGCTGCCTTCGGCTCAGGTCATGATCCTGGAGTCCCTGGATCGAGTCCCGCATTGGGCTCCCTGCTTTGCAGGGAGTCTGCTTCTCCCTCTGACCCTCCCCCCTCTCATGTGCTTGCTCTCTCTCATTCTCTCTCTCTCTCTCAAATAAATAAATAAAATCTTAAAAAAAAAAAAAAAGAAGACACAACTAGTTGTTGGAATCTGAAATGCAAGAATTCAGCCACTTGTTTGCAGGTAGTTAATACCATGCTTCCCCAGTCTTCTGCTCAAAGAGAAGACCTGCTTACTACTATCTGTGTTTTACTCAGTTTATATTAACAGATGTTAGTGGTTACTTTCAGGTAATTTATGGGGGCTGTTGTCTTCTTTTTGCCCCAGCTGCCTTCTGTTCAGCTTTTGTCTAGAGAGAGAGACAGTAGATAATTAGCTTGGCAGGAACTAAGGGAAGGTTTGAAGGGCTTAATATAGCAATAAATGGAAATCACGGTAGCTTTTTAAAGATAACTGTTGAGAAAATAACAGGATATAATCACTATCACCTGCATAATATATCCCATAATGCCAGAGGAAAAATCCTTCCTAATTTAATCAATAATATTAATTCCTGAAAAGAAATGCCTTGCTCCTAAGTATAGTTTTTTCTGCATCAGAATTATTCCTCAGAGGAATATTGCTCAGAATTCACTGCTCAGAATCAACAATTTTTGATTATATAGGTTCTTGACTATAAAAGCTCTCTTTCATTTTCTTAATTTGGGAAAAACATTCTATATCCTGAAGAACATGAATCAGAAAATACTCGATGTTATGTGATGTTATGTTAGTCTTTAAAACAGATATGCTATAAACCCATGTGGAATTATATTTTACTTAGGGTAGCATAAGAAAAGAACAAAAATTAACAGAGCCTAGTTCTCAAACCCATTAATGTAATATACAATTATCATGACATTTTTCCCAGCCATAGAATGGGTGGGTAATAATGGTAATGAATAAAAATATAAAAATGAACAGTGTTTTAGTAGTGGATTTTAGTAGGAATTTTCTTTAGAATTATTTTTTATTATATTCCTTGCCCATTCTTATTTTTTTCAATTTTGGTAAAAATTTCCTCTTAAATAACCTCAAAATTTACTGCCTATCAGGGTACTGAAACATGCTTAATATAAAAATCAATGAGTCTTATTTCCCATTGATATTTCAGCCCTATTTATATTATCTAAAATTCAAAGCATATTGTAGACAATGCTCTTAACTAGGGCTAACTACTGAGGTTGTGTTATAGCCCTTGATCTTGAAATTCCTCTTTGTTTCCATTTTTCTTGGACTTATTTCCAATCTATTTATCTCAATGCTTTGTCATAGGTGAGAAAGATAAAACAGACCTTGGATCTCATTGGTAACTCTTATTAAAACAAGGAACAGTAAGTAAATCAAGGTTTATTATTTTTCACTGTTTAGTGGTTCTATTTTCCCATCATGTTTCTAACACCACTGTGGAAAGGTAATTGGTATTTTAGTACAATACATTTTTCAAAGGCTTATCTGCTGGGGGAATATTTTTTAAAAATCAAGCACATATATCCATGGTGCAGTAAGTAAACAGGCTGTATTATTCCATCATTAGGAGCCCTTTCCAGTGGTACTGCAATTAAATTCAATCCTTTTTGTCTGGGCTATGTATGAATTCAGTTCAACAACTGGTTACACAGAGCTTTTTTGTTGTTATGGTGGTTGTTTTGGTTAATAGCAACTTCCCTATTCAATTCGGTTTCTCATTGTAACTCAGAAGTTGTTTGTAAATATAGTCAACAGAATTATGCATTTTTAAAAATTCTGAAAAGCATCATACCCTATACAGAAAATGGACACTGGCAAACCACTGTTTGACTTTTGAGCTGTCTGAATCTTCTCCCATTTTATAAATGATCTTTGTGGGTACTTACAAGGTGCCATAATAAATGACTGAAAAGGAAAATATTATCATCATTTATCTATATGATACAGACTACTTTTTAATTCATTATCTAATTTGTCCAGTTGCAATGACATGGAGGAGGTATTATTTGTGTATGTGCACATGTTGTTACATTCCCCAGTGTTTGTAAGTAGTGGGTTTCGGGTTGCTTTGTGGTAGTGAGATGTATATGAACAGAATATTATAAATAAGTCAGTCTGTTGAAAATCCTTCTCAAGTCAGAAAATATTCACTGTACATTCATTTTTTTAAAAAAATTATTTTTCTTTTCCCAATACAACCATCAGTGACATTATTTTAAATAAGCTACTTAAAGCAAGGAAATTTACAGCTATAAAATATATAAATTTAATCGACTTTTTCTTCTAATCCTATTCAATAGATTATAAACATATTTATTTTTTCCCTGACATAACCGAAAAAAAGAAAGAATTCTTAAACCTTAGCGTGTTAAAATAAAACGGCACACTAGTAAGGAACTGAAATGAAATGACAATTCAGTAACCTTTACAGCTATAGAGTGACAAAATCCCAGACGGTTTTAGTCTTTAAATTATTCGGGCTGTCTAAATTTCTGCTGCCACAATATTTTTTTTTCGCAAATGGAACAAAAATGGCATTTTGCTCACGTAGATCTAGCTGTTCCCTGGGTGGTTGGTTCTAGAAAAGCAACAGGCTTTCCCCCTGCCTTACAAGAAGCAACAGTTAGAAACTCTAACAACTAGAAAACTGCTACCCCACAGTGGTTGGAAACAGCCAATAGAGAAGATGACAGCTGCTGTGTCACAGCTTCAGGAAGGGAGAAGGAAAAAAGGAAATAAAAGAATGTTAACCTTTTGAAAGGATTGCCTTATGTTACTACCGCACCCCACCCCCTCCGCCGTCCCTTTACTTATCAGGCTTTTCTGCCATGCTTAGGTTTCTAGGGTAAAGCAAAGCCATAACTCCGACCCGTTCTATCTCAACTTAAATTTGCAAGCGCTAGACGACAAATTCATCAACCCCCACGTGGGAACAATACAAGCCTCCCCAGAAGCGGACTTGAGCACTTTCGTATTAGCCAGCATGAACTGTTGTCTCAGCCTGTTGCTCCCGCCACAAGGTGTGTTAGAGCCTGGAAAGAAGGAGGGCACGCTCTGAAACCGTGTCTGTGTGCTCGGGCGCCTGGTGGCGGGACCTGGGCTGGCTCTCGGGTTCAGCGACCGCTCCGGGTTAGGCGGCTACGGACCACGGTCCGGGGACCCTAGTGCAGGCCGCCCGGCCGCCGGCAGATGGTGCCCTCGGCATCGCAACACCAGAGGAAACCCTGCTAAAGTATCGCTCCGACTCCGCCCCACCCGATCCTCCGGCGCCACAGTCACCGTCCTTCCCCAAATAGTGCCGAGCACGTTTCCTCTGGAACACTGCAGTAGCCTGTGTGTGTGTCGAAAATACAAACCAGGGGCAGCAGGGGCGGGGTGTGTTAGTGTGGGGAACACTCGGAATGGGACTCCCGGGGCCGGGGCGAAGTGACCGCCAATGAAACGCAGAGGGCGAGGGGACCCGTCCATTTCACATCTGCGTAAGCCCGGCCGCGGGCCCGTCGGGAGGCCACTCACCATGTTCACTTCGGAGACCATGTCTATGCTGGCGACGTCGATCCGCATCCCTACGTCCACAGGGGGCCCTGCGGGAAGGTGGGACACATTATGGACATATCCTTAGAGTGGCGACGGGATGGGGAGAGCCAGGGGGCCTCCCTGCGCTTACTACATTTTGAATGGGCTCCCTCCATCCCCCACTCCCCCTTGCAAGGGACAGCCTAGGAAAACAGGTGTGGGCACACGCGTGATGCAGTGACTATGCAGAGGGTGTGTCGGGCGGGGGGAAGGTCGGCTCTGCCTGGGGTTTCATCCACCTGCGACTGAGGGTCCGGTGTGTGTGTGTGTGTGTGTGTGTGTGTGTGTGTGTGTGTGTCCAGGGCGTAGGGCGTAGCAGCGCACACTTGCGGAAATGACATGCTTTTTTTTTTTTTTTTTGACATTTATCTTTGACAGGAAAGGAGACCTAGATATGTATGGGTTACAGGTTGAAAAAAGATGAAGCATTACCTCCAAAGTCCGGCCGCAAGCGAATGTCATATCCTTTGAGCAATCTGTCCACTGTCTCTTTCACGTATGACATGTTGCTGGGCTCATTGGCGCTGAGGGGAAGAAGTAGGGACCGTATTCAAAATGAACACAAACTGCGAGCAGACATAAATATAGACAAGCACACCTTACCCCCAAATAACAAGCTACATGATCCAGCAAGCATGTAAAAAGAAAAACACCAAGAAAAAAAGAGACGTTCAACAACTGCAGCTCACCTGTGTGCACAACAGACCATGGCAATCATCACAGGGAAAGAGAGAAGCCCCAAACTCTCTCGATTTTGTACTGTCCACATTACTAACTCTGATTAAAGAATTGTCTTTCCTGCGAAGATTCAAGGAATGCAACTTAGTCGGCGGCAGGGCAGTAATTCCCGAAAGGACCTGCGCATGCGCAGAGGGTGCTCACTACCAAAAGACACCTTGTGCCTTGCAAACAATATTCCTAGTGGAACAGGCAACAGATTTCATTCCCTTTAAAGTTCCTGTTTGTAGTGTTCCACGTCCTCCGAGTAGTCGGAGATATCCTGCTCTTTCCTTGCTCCGGATCCTGTATGCATTTGCATACTGAGGTTTCTTTGGGCATTAGAGGTTGCTATGTTCATTTCCTCTCTGTCCTCAACCTTTTTTTTTTACTCAACTCCCAGGGATCTGGCTAAGGCTGCCTGTGATTGGCATCCTTCGTTGGCAGTCACGGTGGTCCTAGAACTGAGACTGTGGAGGCGGGGCGGTTCTCTGGTCTCCAGGGTGTGCCTGTGTTCGTGTGATGGGGGGACGGGGGGCGGGTAGTGAATGGAGAAGGAGAGCCAGAGAAGAAGGGAAGGGGCAGAGGACATTCAGCACGTATTTGAGGACTCCAAGAATCAGGTCCCCTTAGGAAGCATCCTAGGACATCTGCCTTAGTGTAGTCCTTCTCTGTAGGAGGGGGAGGAGGAGGGGCGAGCCAACTTTTTCACTCGCTCCCCCACTTTTCTTCCCTCCCCCTCTCTTGTCTCTCCAGGCACGAGATTTAAGGGAAACAAGCGATGAGGCAGCATCTCTGGGCAGGCAACCCTTTTTCTAGTGCCATCTGCCGCAAGTCCCACTTTTTTCTAGGTTCTTGTAAGGAAAACCTCTTTCTTAAAATTGCCCATGTATTAACTCGCATTAGTAGCCCGGAGCAGACCCGTGAAACACCCAGAGGGTCTTATCTCTGTTCGCAAATAGGTTGGGGTTCTGTAGGAGCAGGAGTTGTTTAAATTATATTAAATTCAATCAGTGCAATTCAGTAAATGTCATTGAGCACATGTTAGGCGGGAGGCTCTGGCTAGGAGTTTGTTCATTTGTTTAATGGTATATATTAAATATTTACTATGTTCTAAACGTTCTGGAACTTAGAGACGATTTAAAGAGGGTTCCCGACATAGAGAAATTCACAGGCTCCCCGTCAGGAAGACGGACACAAATATAAGGAAGTTCAGTATGCTCTAGATAGTTTATATAGTGACCGGAAGCCTGTTAATACTACAAAGAGAGGTAGATAATGGTGTCCAGACAAGGAGAAAGCGTTCTGTAAGAGCGGGGAGGGCAGAGTATGCCAGAAGGAGGGAACAGCCTGTGCCAAGTCTTGGAGACTTGAAAGGCTATGGTCTACTTGGATAGCTGAACCCAGAAATAGCTGATCCGAATATAAAAGGGGAGAGGTAGGGATAGTGGTGATGAGGTGCCAAGAGAAGCTGAGGCCAGACCACAGGGAAAGTTACATCCTTTACTATGCCAATTTACACTTCTAGAAATCACTGGAAGTTTTAAGTAGGGATAGTCAGGGTCAGATGGCAGTTTCAGACACAATGTTCTGGTAGAATTATCATGATCAGAATAATTAGAGTTTATCACTTGCTGACTATTTGCTGGTTATCGTGCACATTATATAGAAAATCTTATTTAAGCCTTCATAATAATCAAAATGTGGTAGACATTATTATTATTATTCTCTTTTTATAGATAGTGATACTGAGAACAAATCAGGGTAATGTAACTGGTTCAGTATCAAACAGCTAATAAGTCATGGAATGGACATTCCAACCCAGAATCCGTGGACCTGACTACTCTATGCTATGAAGTATGGACCCCAAAAGGAGGAACCAGAGACAGGGAAAACAATGAAAAGGGAGAAGGGTTATTACAATGCCCCAGGCAAAAGGAACTAAAGTCAGATAGTGTTTAGCATGGAGAGGAGGTGATAGACCAGTGCAAGTTTTCAGAAGTATAATGGAGACATCAAATAGCTGGAAAGGTCAGCACGTGAAGACTTTTGGAAGGTAACCAAAGAATTGTACAAACATTTACACATGTGTAGATCTTGACATTCTACATATATTAACTTTATTTTCTCATTTGAGCCTCATAACAACCTTAAACACTGAGGCTATTTTTTTTCTGGGGACAATGATAACTCTTAATCAGGTTTCTTAATTTTCTGAAAAGTGTGTCAAGTCTACCTCTTTTTATTAATTCATATGGATTTGCTTTTAATGAGTAAAAGAAAAGATTTACTTATGCTTCACGTCCTTGCTGAAGCATAGAACCTCTCTATGTGGCACAACTCTGCAAACGTTGCATTGTAGAAAACAAAATTTGCGAAGTTTACTTCCTTCATTTGTTCATTCATTTATTTCTCAAATACTTATTGAACATTTGGTAGGTGACAGCCACTATACTAAAACCTGGTGACCCAACAATGAAAAAGATAGCATACAGAGTCCCTTTCCACATGAAATTTGTCAACTGACCCATCTTTGGGAGGTTGCAAATAGTAGCCTTGCGAGCCAGATTCAATTCATAAAAGAAGTATTTAGTTAGGTATTCACTGCTTGTTCAACTTATGTAGCTTTCATTGGGATATATGTTTTCCAGTTGGTCATAAGCCCCCCAAATTCTTTTTGAATAACAACCAGGATTGTATTTATTAGTGTCTATAAAAGAGCCAAGATTTTATCCTAGAATTGAGGAAAACTGTGAGTGATTTCAAATTCTTGAATCCTAATGTTTAGTATGCTGCAATTTGGATCAATTTCACTAAATTTGGCTTTTAAATTATGCCTCCTTTTACGTAGAAGGACACTACAAGAAGTCATTAGATATTTATAATATCGTCTAATACTGGGATGCTATTGAGGACGGAGCCCCCTGTATCACTCACTATCTTATGTATGAGGACCTGTGGGAGAAAAATTTTCCCAGACCCTGGTCTGGGAAAGGCTGTTGGAATCCTCAAATTCATTAATTTCCTTATTTGCTTTGGCTACTGGGAATCTCAGAGTTGTAGGGACAGTTCAGCTTTAATCATTATGTAAGGTTTTAATGACCTGCATTTTGTTATGTTACATTTCTCCCTGCTGCTCTCGAATCCTAAATTTAATTTTCCTTTGTCACACTTTACTAACTTACAAACAGATATGTTGCACTGAATATATATAGTGTGTAAGCTGTCTTGAATAATTTTTAGAACTAATTGGGAAATAAATTCAAAATAATAAAAAACAATAAGTAAATAATTGAAACACCCTAAAAATCATCAAACCTAGACACACTGTGGGTTTTTTTTTTTTATGGCTTCAAAACATCAACAGTTACTACCTCTGTGAAGTTGCTTGTTTCTTTTCCAAACTAATCCTCTTAATTAAGACCTTCCCCCTTCAAGATTCAACTCAATTTCCATTTTTTTTTTTTATTAAAGCTGTCCCTGAAAGCCAGTGTATACTTAATCATCCATACTCTTATTATCTTCTACTGATAACTCCTAGGGGGATTCTAAAAACGATCATCCATTCAGCAAATTTAACTGTGAATCTGTGAACGGATTATTATGAAGTATTTACCAAAAAAGAAAAATTTCCTACAAGTAACTAAGAGAGAAAGAAAAAAGGACAAGGTGACACTCTAAATGAGGAACTGCAAATTAAAACAATTAGATATGCAGAACTTAAGAATGCCAAATATTGGTTAGAAACTCTGATGTACTTTCAGAATTTATTCATTTCATAACTGGTCAAAGAGTATAAACTTTCATTTATAATATGATATATTTTTATCAAATCACTTCAAATCAACTAACCTTGAATTTTGGTTAGGTAGCCACACTATTACTACTTTTTGAATATTTATATGTCCTTTGTTATGCTTTCACCCCTTTTTTAATAGATTAAGTCCTGTATTTATTTATTAAAATTATAAAATCTTATATAACTTTGATATTACAGTAAGTCTACCAGTAGCTTAAGTAGTACTTTTATCTGTACTTATGGAAATAGCCTCACTTTATTTTTTGCATATGAATTTATTCCCTAAGTGTTTATTATTTTCTTAGAAAAGAAATGTCTTGTTTTTCAGGCTATATTAATAGTCAGTTATTTAACAGATTTTTAGCTGCTAATATAAAAATGTCTTTTTCTTTTTAAAAAAAAAGTTTATTTATTTATTTTAGAGAGAGAGAGAGAGTACAGGTGTGAGCAAGCAGGAGGAGGAGCAGAGGGGAAGGGAAAGAGAATCTGAAGCAGACTCTGCACTGAGAACAGAGCCCCACATAGGTGTGGTGTGCTCGATCCCATGACCACAAGATCATGACCTGAGCCAAAACCAAGAGTTGGATGCTTAACCCACTGAGCCACCCAGGCTCCCCTAAAAAAATGTCTTTTTGATTTTGTGTTTTTCAGTTTTTCTTGTTCAAATATTATAACATGGACTTTTAAAAAAAATTTATTATTATTTTATTATTATGTTAATCACCATATATTACATCATTAGTTTTTGATGTAGTGTTCCATGACTCATTGTTTGTATATAACACCCAGTGCTCCATGCAGAACGTGCCCTCTTTAATACCCATCACCAGGCTAACGCATTCCCACCCTCCTCCCCTCTAGAACCCTCAGTTTGTTTCTCAGAGTCCATAGTCTCTCATGGTTAGTCTCGCCCTCTGATTTCCACCCCCCCTTCATTCTTCCCTTCCTGCTATCTTCATGTTAAGAAGATAACATGGACTTTTGAGGACAAAAATTAGGTCCTTTAATAGATCCAAGTACATTTCTACCTCTTTTTACTCTTATTTAATTAAACTTAATGCTATAACAATTTTATAAATTATCTTAAATAAACAAATTCACTTTCTATTCTTTCCCTGTATTATACTTGTTTTGAGTTTCTTCTGAAATTACTATTTCCAGTATTTCTACTATTTCCAGTGTTTGGAGTGATTAAAAGAATATTCTTTTCTTGTTTTAAGGAGAATTCTACACAAATAAATAAGTGATTTCATATTTTTTGTCTTGTTTAAATTCCAATTAGTTAACATACAGTGTAATATTAGTTTCAGGTGTGCAATTTACTGATTCAACACTTACATACAACAACATATACTCTATCTTATTAATAGAGACATTCCAAGTTGTTGACTATATTAGTAAGAATAGTTAACATTTTTATAGGCTTATTATTTACCAATTTTAAACGCTTGACATAGTCAGTGCTTACAATACCTTC